CCGCCTTTGTTCGATGGCTGAGACAAAAGCCGCCGCCGTCGCTGCTGCTGCTGCGAGCATGGCCCCCGGAGTTGTCGCGATGGTGGTTTGGAGCTCCTTGACGCGTTGTCGGCCTGGCGACTAATACCGATCGCAGTGGATTGTTGAATCTATCTGTATGGAACTTTGAGCTTTAACGTCCCAAAAAAACCCCGTCGATTATGGCAAAATGTCCGATTTTTTTCGTTTAGCCTTTCCAGAAAACGATTCGGGTTCATACCCTACCGCAGTGCAATAGTGAATCACCACACTCACTGGGACTCGCCATCCGGAGAGAGAGAGAGAGAGGGATCGGTGCTTCCATCATCTCCCGGCGCGGCAGCCGAGACGGCGATCCCTGAATCCCCACCACCACTACCCCCACTATCGCCTCGGTCCACCCAGCGGCCGCGGGGATTGTGTTCATCAACCAGCGCAGTCTGTTAGTCTGACCAGCACGTGGCGGCGTGTGGTGGGGTAAAGTGTGGGTCACTTCTTTAATTTAATAGTTAACATTGTTTACGTCTCTCCCCCATCACCACCTCTTCTAAGCTGTGGAAGAGTAGGCCAAGGATACCCTCCTGGAACTCCTTCCAGTGGTGGCGTGACCGTGCACTTGCAGGGGCTGCGCCTTGTTATCCTACCAGGCTTTGTTCATCTCTCCACGTGGGCGCAAACATTCCACTTTTTAGGCCTTCGTCAGATAATCCCATAATTTATTTGGGGGAGGGGCGGGGGGGGTTAGACCGGGGGGGGGGGGTCTCATCAGCAGTGTCGGGGGACACTCCGCTGGCATTGCCAGAAGTTACGAGCAAGAGCGGAGTTGCGAACCAGCGCAGATTGACACTTGCACAAGCATCGCCCGCTAGACACACGCGCCACGGATCTCGGATTCGGAGGCTGCGAGGGGGGGGGGGGGGCTGTGGGGGTCATGGGGAATGGGGGGGGGGATGGTGGTGGGGGCACTTTGCCACTTTGCCTCGTGTTGGCAGCGCGAGTCCCCCAATTAACGAGCTGCCAGGGATCATTAACCGGACAGGGCGCTGGGCCCGACTGGCCCGGGTCGGTTCCCTGGCTCGGCGACACCCCCCGGGCGACACCCCCCGGGGCGACCCCGCGCCTCCCTCGCCGCGAAGTGGCGCGGTAAAGTCCAGTCCGCCCGGGTCCGGCTCGGCCCCCCACCCCCTCCCCGCCGTGCCCCGCGACCCCCCCCCCCCCGCGACCCCCCCCCCCCCCCGCGGTACCCCCACCCCCTTGTCGCCATGTTGGCTAGGAGATGTTAGCTCCCTCGCCTGGTCTACAGGAGGTGGTGGGTTCGATCCCGACCGTGACGACGCCTGCTGCTGCTGCTGTGGATGTTGGAGTCTGCGTCTCTCTCCGTCTCGCTCCCCCCCCCCCCCCCGTGGTGGTCGCTGCTTGGATTTTTCTCCGCGGTCGTCCGGTCCTCCCCCCCCGCTCCTCCGCATTGAGAATCGACGGGGCACCCACGCGTTTGGAGTTGTTTGGTTGCTGCTATGAATGTCCACACTTGGTTGGGGCGATCATTTGTGATGGGGCAGGTCGCTTCCGAAAAAGAGCGACTTCGTAGCTCAGCGGACCTCCACCTGGTAAAATGAACGCGTGAATGCTGAAGTTCTCTTTGTGCGCACCGCACGGAGCCACACCGTGCTCATCGGAGGTGCGGAACCACTGGGTGGGATTAGACCCTCCGGCTGAGGGGTGCCCAAGGATGAGCAGCGTCAAGCAGAGTCCAGGGGGGCTCAGGCGAGGTCCCAGCGGTACAACACAAACGTCAAGGATGGCAGGGCCGCGTCCTTTCTCAACGGTTTGCGGCATAAACATCGCCCATCCACCGCCCATCCACCGCCTTGCCCTACAACGCAGCAGGCAGCAGGCAGCGTGCGTGCGCACAAACTTAGAGCTTTTCTAGTTGACAGTCTCGTCGAGATGAAGCTGCCCTCTCTGGCTGTGTACACATCGTATCGCCTCTGCAGTCGAACTCCACCAATGCGCCGTTCGCGACTTAGTGACGGTGACGTCCCCACGACGCCTGTGCCAGGCTAGGTGCACTTTGAGACTATCACGTGAAGTGTCGAAGGCTCGCTGGCAGGAGGGGGTCTCGGGACAGACCCAGCAGGTGCCCTGGGTGGACTGACTGAGATGACCGCTGGATGCACCACCAGCGGTACCCCTACTGTGCCAACTTTCCGCGTTTTAGCCACCCGGTGCTCCGCTCGTTGTTGTGAGCGTTGCCGCCGTCACCTTCATGACCCTCATCTCGTATCCACGGGCGCCCAAGAACACCGGCGACGTTTCGGCCAACGGTCCTCCTTCATAGCATGTCCACATCCTAGTTACAATACTCATCATCGAGATCCATCATCATCGTCGTCGCTATCATCACACGCGTACAGGCACACGAAGATAAAGTTCCCCCGTATAGCCTGCACCGACTGTTGAGGCAAGTGATGTTAGCGAGTGCCAGAGAAGGCCGACACGGCGCACCAAGCGGGTCAATGTTGGCAACACCACGCCCGGCCGCCTTTGTTTCCCCAGCAGGGATGTTTACACACCGCACCAGTTACAGTACTCATTTGAGCCCGAGTAGACCTAGGGGAGGCCCAGGACTGGTTTCCATGTTCGTCACCGATGTTGGCCGTAGGTGGGAATCGAACTCGGGCCGCCGGGTCCGTAGCGCAGCGTAGCGCTAACCACTGCACCACCGCTCGCTCGCCCACTCACTCACCCTCTCACCCCCCACCCTCCCACTCACTCACCCACCTACCCTCACTCACTCACCCATCCACCCACTCACCCCCCCCCACCCACCTCCCCTCCCCCACCCACTCACCCACCCTCACCCTCTCACCCACTCACCCCCACACTCCCCCCCCCAACCCCCCTACCCTCCCCCACACACAATGCCGGCTCCGTGCGCTGCGGTGGTACCCACGGCTCCGCCATTGTCCCCCCGCGGCTTCTCACTCAATATTTGTTCACCCGCTCCACCTGGGGGGCGGGGGGGGGGCGGGGCAGGGGGGGGCGGGGCCTGGGGGGTGTTTGGGTTCACGGATTAGTTGGGGGAGGGGGCGGGTGGCAGTATCCACCGTCCCCGGCCACTCCCCCCCCCCTCCTCCCCCCCACTGCCCAGGTGAGAAGGGAACCAAGTAGGTGAGCCAGTGCGAGGTGAGGAGGATGGCGAGGGATGGCATCACGAGCTGCGGTGGTGGTGGTGATGATGATGACGAACCTAGCGGTGAAGGTGTCTGATCGTGACGATGTTGCTGACGATGGCCGCTGTTTTGATGACGATTGCTGATGACGATACCATTTACAAATAATAATGAGCACTCGTCCACCCACTCTCCCATCTACCCACCCACTCACCCATCTACCCACTCACCTACCCACCCATTCACCCATCTACCCACTTACCCACCCATCTACCCACTCTCCCGCCCACCAACTCGCCCATCTACCCACCCACCCATCTACCCACTCACCCACCCACCCATCTACCCACTCACCCACCCACCCACCCATCTACCCACTCACCCACCCACCCATCTACCCACTCACCTACCCACCCATTCACCCATCTACCCTCTTACTCACCCATCTACCCACTCTCCCGCCCACCAACTCGCCCATCTACCCACCCACCCATCTACCCACTCACCCACCCACCCACCCATCTACCCACTCACCCACCCACCCACCCATCTACCCACTCACCTACCCACCCATTCACCCATCTACCCACTTACTCACCCATCTACCCACTCTCCCGCCCACCAACTCGCCCATCTACCCACTCACCCACCCACCCATCTACCCACTCACTCACCCACTCATCCATACAGCCACTCACCCACCCACCCATCTACCCACTCACCCACCCACCCATCTACCCACTCTCCCGCCCACCCACTCACCCATCTACCCACTCTCCACCCACCCACTCTCCCGGCCCACCAACTCACCCACCCACCCATCTACCCACTCTCCCGCCCACCAACTCGCCCATCTACCCACCCATCCACCCATCTACGCACTCTCCACCCACCCACCCACTCTCCCGCCCACCCACTCGCCCATCTACCCACTCTCCACCCACCCACTCTCCACCCACCCACTCTCCCGGCCCACCAACTCACTCACCCACCCACCCATCTACCCACTCTCCACCCACCCACTCATCTACCCACTCTCCCGCCCACCCACTCACCCAGCACCATCCCTTCATCGCGCAACCTCTCCATGACACTGGCCTCTCTGTCTCTCCCTTTCCAGCCGTCTCTCTGTCTCTCTCTCTATCTCTGTCTCTATCTCTGTCTCTATCTCTCCCCTATCTCTGTCTCTATCTATCTTACTATTTCTCGCCCCCTATCTGTTCCTATCTCTCTCCGTCCTTATCCCTCCCTGCCATTATCTCTCTCTCTCTATCTCCAGAATCATGATAACGAAAACTAATTTCTGTAGAACTGCTTGTTGCTGTGTTTGTCTTTCCCCCGCACCTCCGACGAGCACGGTTAGATACGTACGGCGCGAAGGAAGTTCTACACCCACACATCAGTGTCCATCCCTCCACCGCCACCCTCTCTGCCCCCCTACCCACGCGTTCCGCCCGCACCCCCCTCGCCCGAGCTGCCAAAGGTAGAACTCGTGGGCTTCACCTGGCGAGATAAACATAGTTTAGTTTTACTGTGTGGTTTTTATTCTTTTACGGCGATTTGTTTACCTCTCCTCTACTTTGCACTCCTGCCGTGTTGCTTGTTGTTGTAACCTTCTGACTCGCCCCTGCTGGACGTGAAAAAGCGCTTCATAGCTCATCGGATTCTTCCTGCAGTCCAAATACAGATTTTGACACCACCTCCCGAGTAACTCATCCCCCCCCTCTCACCCCCCCTCTCATCTTCCCTCTCACCCCCCCCCTCTCATCCCCCCCCTCTCACCCCCCCCCCCCTCACCCCGGCTCGCAGTGTTCCACCTGAACCACCGGCTGTCCACGCTGATCCCCGAGAGCGCCCTCCTCATCGTGCTGGGCCTGGCCCTGGGCGGCGTGGTGTGGGGCGCCAGCCAGCACGCCGAGTTCACGCTCACGCCCACCGTCTTCTTCTTCTACCTGCTGCCCCCCATTGTGCTGGACGCCGGATACTTCATGCCGGCGCGCCTCTTCTTCGACAACATCGGCGCCATCCTCATGTACGCCGTGCTGGGCACCGTGTGGAACGCCGCCACCACGGGCCTCTCGCTCTACGGCATCTTCCTCACCGGCGCCATGGGTGAGGGGCGAGCCGCGGCGGCGGCGGCCGCCACGCCGAGAGACCGCGAGGTCGTGGTTGAAGTTGGTCGTGGATGTGGTTGGGGGTCGCGGTTTGGGTGGGGGGTTGTGGTTGGGGGTCGCGGTTTGGGTGGGGGGTTGTGGTTGGGGGTCGTGGTTGTGGTTGGGGGTCGCGGTTGGGGTCAAGGTTGTAGTCGAGGTCACGCTCGAGGTCGCGTGTGATTGGCTATTCGATTAGTGACTCCACGGAGCCAATCACATGCCACTGCTGGCGGAAAGACTTCCACTAGAGGCCGCTATACAGAGTCCCTCGAGTTGTATTTGGCCTACTCTTCCATCCCAACCAGACCTGTGAGGAACTGAGAGTAACCACACGCTGCTGATGCTGCTGATGCTGCTGATGCCGCTGATGCTGTTGATGATGCTGATCGCGCTGCTGCGTTACGAATCCGGCGACCTGAGTTAGATTCCCGTTCACGGTCACTAACACCAGTGACAATTATTTGAAACTGTAATGGGCCCTCCCCTAGGTCGACTGAGCCTCAAATGAGTACCTGGGTGCGGCGTGTATTAAACATCGCTACTGGGGAGACAAAGGCGGCCGGGCGTGGTGCTGGCCACCCACCCCATCTCGTGCGCTGTGCCGGCCTTCATAGGTGCAACTCACGAGCACCACTTGCCCCAACAGTCTGTTATGGCTACACGGGTGTGTGGGTGGGGATCTTTGTGTTTGTCAGGCGACCTGCAAGCCGGCCTGCTCGACTTCCTCCTCTTCGGGAGTCTGATCGCCGCCGTGGACCCCGTGGCGGTGATCGCCGTGTTCGAGGAGGTGCACGTCAACGAGGTGCTCTTCATCATCGTGTTCGGGGAGTCGCTCCTCAACGATGCCGTCACCGTGGTGGGTGCCAGCAGCAGCAGTACAGCATCACCACCATCATCATCACCACCATCATCATCATCACCACCATCATCACCACCACCACCATCATCATCACCACCACCATAATTTCCTCATTCCCCGTTCTCCACTTGTCACCATTTCATTGTCGCGGGTGCTCCACGTGTCCCCGAGTCATCCCCACCCCGTGCCCCCCCCCCCCCCCCCGGTGCTGTACAAAGTCTTCGACTCGTTCGTGGCCCTGGGAGGGGAGAACATCGAAGGCGTGGACTACATCAAGGGCATCGGTGAGACGCCATCGCAGCCTCGCTCCTCGCCCACGCCGGCTTCGGTCCCTGACCCAGGCGCCTGTGGACCGACCTATAATGCTATTCAAATATGTTAATTAACCGGTAACCAAATGGGAGGGGGGGGGGTGAAACGGTTACAGGTTCACAGATTAACTCAAATGTGTGGAGTAATAAGCTCGGCAGTCTATCCCGTGCCGTGGCTAAGAAACGAAGGCAGCTGCCCCAGCGGAAGAGTAGACCAAGGTACTGTGCCCTCTCCAGGGTTGATGAAACACCATTTTAGGAGCTTCTTTGCTCACGAGGGTGGCCTCCAGTGGAGGCTGCGTCTCTACTCCAACACGAGCCGGCGAGGATGACGACGACGCTGCCGATGATGACGCTGTTGCTGATTCTGCTATTGATGGTGACGCTGATGGTGATGTTGCTGCTGATGTTGCTGACGACGATGTTGCCGATTTGTGGCTGTGTCCCGGCAGCGTCGTTCTTCGTGGTGAGTCTGGGCGGCACGGCCGTCGGGGTGATCTTCGCCTTCGTCATCGCGTTCGTCACGAGGTTCACCAAGCACGTGAAGATGATCGAGCCGGGCTTCGTCTTCCTGCTCTCCTACCTCTCCTACCTCACCGCCGAGATGTTCACCCTGTCCGCCATCCTCGCGTGAGGCTCCCCCCCACCCCCATTGCCCCCACCCCCCACCACGCCCCCCTCCCTCGCGCCCCCCCCTCGTGTGTGCGTGTGGGGGGGGGGGTTCTGTGTGTCTCTCCGTCTTTGTCTGTGTGTGTGTCCATCTGCCTTTGTCTGTCTCAGTATCTGTGTCTCTCTCTCCGTGTCTATCTTTCACTGTGTCTGTGTGTCTCTCTGTCTCCGTGTCTTTGTGTGTCTCTCACTATATCTGCGTCTGTCTCCGCGCGTCTCAGGATCACGTTCTGCGGCATCTGCTGCCGCACCTACGTGGACGCGAACATCAGCAGCAAGTCCCAGACGGTGATCAAGTACACCATGAAGATGCTGGCGAGTGCCGCCGAGACGATCATCTTCATCTTCCTCGGCATCTCGGCCGTGGACACCGAGAAGTGGACCTGGAACACCGCCTTTATCCTGCCCACGCTCATCTTCGTGTCCGTCTACAGGATCATCGGTGCGTCTGTCTGTCTGTGTGTGTGTGTGTCTTGTGTTCATGTCCATTCACAGGATCATAGGTTTGTGTGTGTGTGTCTGGTGGGGAGCGGTGGTGCAGTGGTTCGCGCGCTGCGCCACAAACCCGGCGACCCAAGTTCGGTTCCCGCTCACGGCCAACCACCAGTGACGATTATCTGAACCAGTCCTGGGCCTCCCCTAGGTCGACTCGGCGTCAAAATGAGCACCTGGTGCGGTGTGTAAACGTCGCCACTGGAGAGACAAAGGCGGCCGGGCGTGTTTTTGCAGCGAATGCTGTTTCACGCGACTTCCCCACGGCCAAAACACCACCAGATACATTTACAAAAAGAAAATACAGAGAGACAAATAAATGTTCTTTTGAGTGGACGTCAGCCCCCAACATCACCACAGAACCACTCTTCCAGCCTCTTCCTCTTCCAGCACATGCAGGGCAACAACAACGACCACAACACGGCCCGCCCGGCACGCCCTGACGGACTCCGCATGGTGCGCCACCACGGTCTCTCCTGTCTCTCGCCACATTCACACGGTGGCGGCGGCGGTGCTGTCGCGCAGTAGCACGGCGCCCCACCGATGTTCGGAAGTGGTGTCACGCTCCCCCTGGTCACGCAGGAAGTGGTGTCACGCTCCCCCTGGTCACGCAGGAAGTGGTGTCACGCTCCCCCTGGTCACGCAGGAAGTGGTGTCACGCTCCCCCTGGTCACGCAGGAAGTGGTGTCACGCTCCCCCTGGTCACGCAGGAAGTGGTGTCACGCTCCCCCTGGTCACGCAGGAAGTGGTGTCACGCTCCCGCTGGTCACACAGGAAGTGGTGTCACGCTCCCCCTGGTCACGCAGGAAGTGGTGTCACGCAGGAAGTGGTGTCACGCTCCCCCTGGTCACACAGGAAGTGGTGTCACGCTCCCCCTGGTCACGCAGGAAGTGGTGTCTCGCGCCCCCTGGTCACACAGGAAGTGGTGTCACACAGGAAGTGGTGTCACGCTCCCCCTGGTCACGCAGGAAGTGGTGTCTCGCGCCCCCTGGTCACACAGGAAGTGGTGTCACACAGGAAGTGGTGTCACGCTCCCCCTGGTCACGCAGGAAGTGGTGTCACGCAGGAAGTGGTGTCACGCTCCCCCTGGTCACACAGGAAGTGGTGTGTGGGGGTCGCTAGCCCCCGAGATCCCTCCCTCGATAATGCTAACGGCCGGGCTAGCATCATCAATCGCCCCCCCGCTGCTAAGCGAACCGCTGCTAAGTTCCTCACCCATGGTGTGGGAGCCGTCGCCCGAGGATTCCCCTCCACCGCGGGTCCGCGTAGCAGGCATGGTTAATTACGTACGCGCACACCCACACACACAGCTCTGCACGGCACTCACTCTTGCGCCTCTCTGCGCCGCGCTGGCCGTTCACGTTACAATCGCGCACCTGGGGTACGCCGATTTCGCACGACGAGAGCTTACGCATACACCGTACCACACGCGTTCACACTTATAACACGAGATCACACGAGGCCACGAAAACGGGGCACACGCCGACACAAAGACTCAAGTTGCCGCCGCCGTGCGCGCGAGATAAACCGTACAACAATGCGCAGCCGATTACGCGCTCGAGCCGCGGGGCTGGGGGTCAGGAACTCACCACCGCGCCGCACTTTACGCACGTAACGAGCACACGCAAGCGGGGCACACGCCGACACAACGACTCAAGTTGCCGCCGCCGTGCGCGCGAGATAAACCGTACAACAATGCGCAGCCGATTACGCGCTCGAGCACACGCAAGCTCGCACAAAGCTAACCGCTTCACTGCGCACCGCGGTTTCGCACACGCGAGCGGGGTGCACGCCGACACGACGACTCGTCCCCTCCCGCACTCGCGCGTGCACGTCAACACAAGTATCGTGCAAGGACGATTCTCCTCTCACACGGCTGCGTAGGCACGCCAACACACAAAAGTGCTCTCCCCGGGCATTAACACACACACCTCCGTACCCGCGCCATCGTACAGAGACCACGGCCTTTACGCATACAACGACCACACACCCGCGAATGCAGTGCACGCTAATACCACGTTCAAAAACACCCAACAACACGGTTTTGTTACTACGCTCGAGATTTTATTAACCCTTGTTAACCCACCGAGCCACCCGTGTGTGTGTACAAGCCAGCAAGGCGCTTCCAACCCACTCTCTAGTGGCGTGCAGCCCTATTCTATGCTGCGCTCTCTGTTACACCGCTTTCCTACTCGTCCTTACCCCGAACTAACCTTCTCCTACGGATCCTACTCTCCGCTCTGAGGTGTTGTAAGGCGCGTAATACGATACCGTCTGTAGTCCTAGGTGACCTTGCGGCGCTCAGGTCGTCCTGCAGACGATCCTGCGGCTCGCCCGATGACTCCCTCGTCGTCGAGCCCGTGTCACTACTCCAGAAGAAGAGAGAACCCTACTGCCCCTGCGTTTTCTTTTAAACTATCCACATCAAAGGCTAGGCGCCCCCGTCCCGACCGCCTTGGTCTCTCGACCAATCCTGAGCCTAGAATTTCCCGCCCTTTTGCGATCCCGCCGGCCTTTGACCTTTTTGCTAATCAGCAGCCCCGGGTCCTGATCCTAGCTATCTGCCTTGCTGACCCGTGTTTGTGTTTGTATGCGTTTCTAACTGCAGGGCTCTCTGAGCTCGCCGTGGTCGTGCGATCTCAAATCCGCCCACGGCGCCGCAGTGTTACTTAGCCTGGGAAGGGTCCTGTCCAATTCCCTGGCCCTGAGAAACCGTGGGGTAACCCCCCGAGGGGGCCCTCGGGTGAAAACTCAGGGTAGGTGACCCGACCACAAGGCCCTACGTGGGTGCGGGTGCGTGCTTATGTGGGGGGGGGGGGGGATGGGGGGCAGTGCAGTGGTGGAAGCCGGGCAGCTCCCTGGCTCGGCAGAGCGGCCCCGTCGTTGTGGCACCACAGGTGTCACGCTCCCCCTGGTCACACAGGAAGTGGTGTCACGCAGGAAGTGGTGTCACGCTCCCCCTGGTCACACAGGAAGTGGTGTCATGCTCCCCCTGGTCACACAGGAAGTGGTGTCACACAGGAAGGGGTGTCACACAGGAAGTGGTGTCACGCTCCCCCTGGTCACACAGGAAGTGGTGTCACGCTCCCCTGGTCACACAGGAAGTGGTGTCATGCTCCCCCTGGTCACACAGGAAGTGGTGTCACACAGGAAGTGGTGTCACACAGGAAGTGGTGTCACACAGGAAGTGGTGTCACACAGGAAGTGGTGTCACACAGGAAGTGGTGTCACACAGGAAGTGGTGTCACACAGGAAGTGGTGTCACGCTCCCCCTGGTCACACAGGAAGTGGTGTCAGCTCCCCCCTGGTCACACAGGAAGTGGTGTCACACAGGAAGTGGTGTCACACAGGAAGTGGTGTCACACAGGAAGTGGTGTCACACAGGAAGTGGTGTCACACAGGAAGTGGGTCCCACAGGAAGTGGTGTCACGCGCCCCCTGGTCACGCAGGAAGTGGTGTCACGGTCCCCCTGGTCACGCAGGAAGTGGTGTCACGCGCCCCCTGGTCACGCAGGAAGTGGTGTCACGCAGGAAGTGGTGTCACGCTCCCACTGGTCACACAGGAAGTGGTGTCATGCTCCCCCTGGTCACACAGGAAGTGGTGTCATGCTCCCCCTGGTCACACAGGAAGTGGTGTCATGCTCCCCCTGGTCACACAGGAAGTGGTGTCACACAGGAAGTGGTGTCACACAGGAAGTGGTGTCACACAGGAAGTGGTGTCACACAGGAAGTGGTGTCACACAGGAAGTGGTGTCACACAGGAAGTGGTGTCACACAGGAAGTGGTGTCACACAGGAAGTGGTGTCACGCTCCCCCTGGTCACGCAGGAAGTGGTGTCACGCTCCCCCTGGTCACGCAGGAAGTGGTGTCACGCTCCCCCTGGTCACGCAGGAAGTGGTGTCACGCGCCCCCTGGTCACGCAGGAAGTGGTGTCACACAGGAAGTGGTGTCACGCTCCCCCTGGTCACGCAAGAAGTGGTGTCACACAGGAAGTGGTGTCACGCTCCCCCTGGTCACGCAAGAAGTGGTGTCACACAGGAAGTGGTGTCACGCTCCCCCCTGGTCACGCAGGAAGTGGTGTCACACAGGAAGTGGTGTCACGTTCCCCCTGGTCACGCAGGAAGTGGTGTCACACAGGAAGTGGTGTCACGCTACCCCTGGTCACGCAGGAAGTGGTGTCATGCTCCCCCTGGTCAATCAGGAAGTGGTGTCACACAGGAAGTGGTGTCACGCTCCCCCTGGTCACGCAGGAAGTGGTGTCACACAGGAAGTGGTGTCACGGTACCCCTGGTCACACAGGAAGTGGTGTCACGCTCCCCCTGGTCACGCAGGAAGTGGTGTCTCGCGCCCCCTGGTCACACAGGAAGTGGTGTCACACAGGAAGTGGTGTCACGCTCCCCCTGGTCACGCAGGAAGTGGTGTCTCGCGCCCCCTGGTCACACAGGAAGTGGTGTCACACAGGAAGTGGTGTCACGCTCCCCCTGGTCACGCAGGAAGTGGTGTCACGCAGGAAGTGGTGTCACGCTCCCCCTGGTCACACAGGAAGTGGTGTGTGGGGGTCGCTAGCCCCCGAGATCCCTCCCTCGATAATGCTAACGGCCGGGCTAGCATCATCAATCGCCCCCCCGCTGCTAAGCGAACCGCTGCTAAGTTCCTCACCCATGGTGTGGGAGCCGTCGCCCGAGGATTCCCCTCCACCGCGGGTCCGCGTAGCAGGCATGGTTAATTACGTACGCGCACACCCACACACACAGCTCTGCACGGCACTCACTCTTGCGCCTCTCTGCGCCGCGCTGGCCGCTCACGTTACAATCGCGCACCTGGGGTACGCCGATTTCGCACGACGAGAGCTTACGCATACACCGTACCACACGCGTTCACACTTATAACACGAGATCACACGAGGCCACGAAAACGGGGCACACGCCGACACAACGACTCAAGTTGCCGC